TCATCATCCATAATAGGCTAAATATATGTATCAGCAGACATTTGGGTGTGATGAAACAGTTAACCACTGGGAAAAGTGTTTTTTTTTTTTTTTTTTTTTTTAAATCTCTAACTCCCTCATTCAAGTCTATGATAGCTGCTCCTGATTGCAGTCCTCGTGCACAACTCAAATAGCAGCGAGAAAACTGAGCCTGCAACTCGCTCCACTCCCTGGACAGCCACATCTCACCACATCATGGACTGAAAGAATACAACACTAGCAGAGACTAACTTTGAACAAGCAGAGCTTTGGGACATTTTTATGAAAAATACCACTTGAACTACTCAAACAGCAGGCAAAAAATGGAATAGCAAGTAAGATGAAAACCACTTTGCAGGATTTTTTTTTTCCACAGAATCTTAATTTTCTCTATTAGCTCTTCTATCCTGCAAGTGTACACTCGTACATAGAGCTAGGAGCACATATTTATAAAATATACATTTATAGCTTATATCCCAATACAACATACTTCAGGGAAAAAGGGCAATTACATCACTGACAACAACAGAAGAGGGAAAAATACGCAGCCAAACTGTAAACATGGAGATGTAGAGAAACAGAGAATTAAAATAATAATATATAAAAAGCATCTTTGTGTGTTCCTTTTCCTTTTAAATATTCAGAACGGATTCCAGTTCATATCAGTAGCAAGGAGCCACGTAGGTGCAACAATATGAGATCTCTGGATTAAACACACAGCCACACTGATGGCTGAAAGGCAACAATAATTTAATTTCAATCTAACTGATGAAATCATTACATCAGTTGTATAACAACAGACATGCACACAGCAGACATGCAGCTTGCATAGAACAAAATCTCTGTGCAGGTCTGCCTGAATGTATTTATATGCATAGCCATTCATCTAAGTAGCCTGATTAATGCACTGGCTTCATTCTCGAAGATGAACCAAAGGTGGCACCACAAATTCATTTTTCAGTGCTAACGAAATAATGCAATAAGAAACAGTTGACTTTATTACAGACAGCAGTGCAAACCTGCTCCTGTTCTGCAGGAGGTGGCCCGGGTAAATGGATGCTCCCTCCTTTTAATTTCACTTGCTGCATGAGTGGAAAAAGCTGGATCCAGGGATGAAGTGCAAGTATTTATGCGATAATAACACAATATCCTCTGTTTGATTTCTCTTGGATGCAGGAGTCAGGCGCTTCAGAGCTACACAGCTCCGTGCTAACGTCTGCTACGCGGGGACCAAACAGTGCTCTGCTGCAGCCTGACTCCTGGGGCTCGTGCTAGGACAGTTATAATGCACTTCTGAAGACAACTTAAAAGATGGGTCCAGTTGGGCAAGGTGATCCAGAAGGTCTCCCACGTATCTGCACTCCCTCTGCTGAAAGAGGGCTTGCTAGAGGTACCAGTGCTTTCCCCAAGCCACTGTGCTAGTTCTAACTACTGGTACTTAGATTTCAAATCCACTATAACCCCAGAAGCATTTCTGAAGAATCCTCCTCCTTTGGCGCTGATCAGATAAAATATGCACACAAATCTCCTAACTTTAGGTAACATATCCCAGGAAAAAAGACTTCCACGGTACTGACCTACAGCTGGTAGCTAAAAATTCTCCTCATAGGAAACGCACTCACCCACCAACTCAAGCCTTCCCCTATATTACATAAAGAAAATAAGCAAGTCCATAACAAGCAGGACTTGGTTGTAAAGAGGATGTGGAGAACTGACAAATGACATGAGGTGGATGGGATAAATCAAAGCTATCAGTGGTAAATTATTAATTGGGAATTGGTAGCCCAAGAGCCAGGGCTTGGTGGCTTCACAAAGCAGAGAGCTGTAGAAGGCCGTAACCTTGCTTGTAGACCAGCCTGTTGGGAGGTTTCTGCCTCCCACCGCTTTGCAGGTCAGGCAGTGGAACAGAAAAACCCTGGAGCTGCTGAGGAAACCTTCCCAAACAGGAAGAAATAACAGGATCAGCTCAACTTCTGATGGCCCTGCTTTGACATGCAGTCTTGCTGGGCATGCAGTGAAGACTTATAAACACTGATTTTTTTTTTTTTTTTTTTTTTTTTTGGTATACAAGACATAGAAGTGTAAAAGTCCACCTTGTACAACACTGTCAGGCCCCACCGGCTGATGGCAAGACCAAAATGACATGTTTGAGAGGACCCCTGTGAGTTACAGCCCAGCGGAGCGAGGTGCCTACCTCGTGGAGTCGGACGAAGGTTTCAGGTGGCCTTGGCTGTTCTCCTCCCAGACGCTGTTGGCCAACTCGTTCCCGATAGAAGACATGACCTTGATAAGCTCCAGGGGCCAGTCATCCAGGTCAAGCGAGCGCACTCGGGAAAGGTGCGTGCCAAGGTTTCGGTGGATACCTGAGCATTCGATACACATGAGAGCTCCCAGATTCAAACTAGCCCAGTCGGGATCTGCAGGGAAAAGGACAGTTGGAATCAGCACAACGAGACACTGACCGAGTCTTTCATCATTTTGGCTGCAAAACCAACAGGAGAAAAATGCAGATGTTCAGCTCACACTTGGGAAGCCTGGCAATGGGGGCAATTTTTGTGCTGTTAAGATGCAACCCTTCCAAAGAATCCCCAAACCTTAAAAAAGAAACAGCACGAGGGTGTCAAAAGGTGACACATATTGCCCTATCTATAGCCAAAAGGAGAAGAAACAAAGAAAATATAATCGGAGTGACCAGTAGGTTATGAAGAAGTGGTGGAAAAAGCTCCTCCTTGGGTATCTAGAGCCACTTGTGGCCAATTACAAGAGAAAAAGAAGGGGAAAAAAGAGCTACTAGATACAATGTCTCTCTGTTGCTAACTATATCAACTCCCTTAATAACCATCTATATCATCACCTACGTATGGCTTTTACATCTAACACACTATGGGGTATGTTTTCATCTCTAAGATCAGGGAGGTAAGTACTAAGATGAAAATGGGCTACTTTGAACAGTCCCGGGTTTAGTGTACTAGCCAGAAGGCTTCCAGCGACCAAAAAATAAAATAAAATAACCCTGCAAACGATAAGGCTGTGACAACCTGACAAAAGCCAGGAAATTCAAAGTCCTTTTCCAGGAGGCCACCATAAATACCAAGCAGGAAAACTGTGATTAATTGAAAGGGCAGGCAAGTTTTATTCCAATCTATATGAAATTGATAGAAGATGAATTTCCATGTTAGAAAATGAATTTCCATGAAAACTGGATATCCAGTTGGGATAACTTTATGAAAAGATTCATTTTCACTTTGTGCAACCCAAAACCTGGAAGCCTTTTCTGACATCCAAAAGACATGGAAAACAAAATATTTTCTAGCTCTGTGTCAAAATAAATCACATTTAGACAACAAATACTAAAGTACAGTAAATACTTTTAATGGCAAATTTCAATATTTCATTTAAAAAGGTGATAGTTTTTTTTCAGTCAGTCTAAGAAAGATAAACCTAGAAAAGAATGGACCAAAATAAAAAAAACCCTCACACCTGACCTTATTCCATTCAGGCAGAAGAACAGATATATTCTGTTAGAAAAGTTTTTGTCTATACCCAGTCTTATACTGGGAAAAGCTATCAGATATTTTGGACCTTCAAAAACATGGAAGACAACAAAAACTTCTATCCTTTACAAGCCCTTGCAAAGGGTAAGAAAAAACCCTTTCTGGCATATTGCTTCAGGTCACCTTCACCAGTGACTCTGGACATGTTCTCAGTGGAGGAAATCAAGTGAATTTGAAACACACTAAACCCCAAACTCTAAATTGTAAAATGCAACAAGAAACAGTCAACTTGAAACAGAACAAATAATCGTTTAAAATTTACGGGCTGTGACTTGGAACCAAATCTCTGCCACTGACCTGCAAAGGCCAGGGTTATCTTCACAAACATAGAAAGGAATGTGGCCTTCACAAAAATAGAAAGGAGAAAAACTCCCAAGTAATATTTCTCAAAATAACCCCATTGAACTGATGCTAAGGACCTGACACTCCTTCTGGCCCCATTATCCCTGGGTACTTGAAGCACATCTAGTATATTTTTTAATGAATAAATTCCTAAAATATTTGTCTACTGTCAATTGACGGTCGTAGAGCACACCGAAGTAGTCCAAATTGATACCACCAAGAAGTTGCAGGAGGTTTTGTCAGGGCAGTGTTTTAAATTTCAGTTATCTGAAAACATGCGGATGAGTTTGAAGTGGCAAGACAGAGAAGGCAAATGTTGAAGTCATAATAGAAGGAGCAACCTTCACTTTTCCTGTTGAGGCTACCAGTGACTGTAGATTGGGATTAGGGTACCTATAGCCACGTGCATCGAGTTAGGTTTTTCTCCATATGCATATATCTAGATCTGATGGCAAACAGAGAAAATTCCATTTCACAAAAGTTATAGGCACTAGAAAGGCTAGTTTCCATCTTTGATTTGCTTACATCTTGTCAAACAGTAAGGGCTTTTTTGCATCACTGAATATTCTCAGATTACAGTATTCAGCTGACCACATTATTTTAAAGGTGTTCAGTTGTCTCTTCCTCTGAAAACATCCTACCCACTTCCACTTGAGCCTTAATCACACCAATCATTTGAAGGCAGAAGCTCTTGGGATCAAACCCTTTCAAGAGAAAAACCTTTCCATATCCTCTGCTTTACCCCTTTGGACATGGGGCAGTGGATGAAGGACTTTTTACCCTGCTGAGTTCTGATGAGTTCAGCAAATGTAAGATTGGGCTGAGGAGACAACATGTCTACAGAGAGGAACTAAAGAGTGAGGGAAAGAAGAGGTACTGGGCAAAGACAACTTGAAAAGTCACCGAATCTCCTGATAGGTCTGATGGGCTTCCCAGTGCCAGATAAATTATTACTTCACTGTTCAGTGGTCCCCAGTCCAAAATACACAACAGTAAGTTACCAGATACCCAAACTCTGTTGGACTGGAAAACTCATGGTGAAAGTCGCCTTTCATGTGCCCTCTTTGTTTTCTTCTACAACAAAGAGGATCTGATATTCCAAGCTGTCCTACCACTTAAATGGGCAAATTGTGCTTAGCCTTTGATCTCTCCTTTAAGCATTAACACTGGAAGAGCTAGAATCCTTTGGAGGCAGATATGCAGATGGGTTTTCCTATGCAATCTGATTGCTTTAAGTGCCTTCTCCAGAAAGAAGTCAGGACTGAGACTCTCATTGCTTTTGTGACCTCTGGGAAAGAAAGACAACATAAGAACATGAAATATTGTGGAACATGAAAAAAACTACTTGGACAAAAACTTCAGCGTCTGGACTTGGCCTCAGTATCTCTCCTCTGCCACTCTGGGATGGGAACATTATAAGAAGACATGAAAAAAACTTAAGTCTGACCCTGCTACAGAGCCAGAAGGCTGGGAGCACACAACCGGTATTCAATTAACAGGCAACAAAGCAGAAGTTCCCAAGTGAAACAAAGTGCTATAATGAAGTGCTAAAAAGGCAAGGAGCTCTAGAAAGAGGAAGAATGAGACTTCTAAAGTGGAAGATTGATGGCTCCTGAATAGAGCTGAGGGACATCAACATCTCATATTCCTTTGCTCCCAAACATCTGGCTCTGTGAAGATGCAAAGCACATCAGCTTTCCACAGGAGCAAGGCTGTTTGTGATGCAAAATGCTCCAGGGTAAGGACTTGTCCAGGCAGGACCGAAAGGGCAAGAAGGAAACAAAGCAAAGGCTGGCAGAAAAACAGCCAACTGAGGTTCACATGATGTGCATGCTTACATTTTAAGATGCATCACTCAGAAAGAACTCAGTATTTTTCCAAAAGGACCAACAGTGGCCTTAAAAATTAGGAAGACCAAATGGCCAGAAGAGCCACTGAGGGTCTAAATGATCTCCAAGAATGTGAACAATTAATATAGCTCTGACGGTGGTTCCAGAGTCATCCTCCCCCCAAAAAAACCCTAAAACAAAAACCAAAAAAAAATTAAGTCAACAACTAAGTGTTGACTGCTGCCAAAAAGGGTAGTTCCATCCTGCCTCTCCCCAGCAACAGGGTCCTGGCACTTCCCTTCTGCTGGTAGGATGCATGTGCCCCCAGGCTCATCTAATCTGGGTGAAAAATAGTCTGGTTGAAAGGAAAAACACAAATTAAAAACAAACCCCCCAAATTGCTTTCCTGCACAGTTGCTTTCCCAACTGAATGCTCATTGCAGCTGCACAAGCACTGGTGGCACCTTGGTGACAACATCCACTTTGGCCAGTTTAAGTGGATCAGGACCTATCCCCAGAGCACGACAGACACGTGTGGGTGTGGGAACCAGTCTGCAGTGAAAGGATCTCATGCAGTGAGTGGGGTCTAGGAAAACACCATCCCCTCTTGCAGCAAAGAGAGACCAGAGAAGGAATCAGGAGCACTGTGCAACGTGGGCTGCTCGCAACTGTGAGTACTTCAACGAAACCAAATATGCATCAGGGACATGCGAAGACCATAGCACAGCATCTTTTACTTGAACTATACCTAAGTTTTTTTATCCAAGCTTGGGAGTAAACCTCAATGGTTATCACACTAATAAGTAACACTTCTAAATAAGAGCAGTTCTGTTCCTGTACATCAAAATCCAGGCCAAACTAATGAATTTGTTGTTGGATTACAAGTCAAGAGAACATAAAGATCTTAACTCATTGATGTTGCTATTTTTCTCCCTGTTGGTGAGAAGTCTCTACGATATTTCTATTGAGGACCATCTCCAAGTAGGCCAACAAGCTGTTCTGACAAGATGCAAGTGCTCAAAGGCCAAGTTGGCCAAGGCTCATATCAGTGACCGCCGAGGACAGAGCAGCTGCCTTGGTTTTTGATCCATCTCCTGCAGACAACACATAAATACCTGCCAGCTTTCAAAAGAAGCAATTGAAATCAATAAATCTGTAAGGGAAGAATATTTTGATGGTATGGACTGGAAAAAACTTCATTTTAAATGCCTGCTAATTCTAACTGCATCCCCTTGAAGCCTTCTGAAGTTGAGGCAGGGGATAATAGGTTTGTTGATGGGTGACCAAATCACCTTAAATTGCTAACTATGCGGACAGTGAATTATTCATGCAAAGCACCTGTGTATCTGTAGGAATGCTCACTTTCAAGTTAACTGGGTTGTTAAAACGGCTTAGATCAGTAGTCTAATTTCTAAAGAGTGAGTCTTTTAAAACAATCCCAAGCATTGACACAAATAAAAATAAATGAATATTTTTCCATTTTAAGCACATGTGAAATCACAAGAAAAGTTCTGGCTTTCCAACACCAAAGAAATAAAGATGCCCAAGTTCTCATTCCTTCTGCTTCTACAACTAATTGCTTTGGAGCAAGAGTACTTCCTTTTCATGGCTTTGTTACAAACCCCTGGAACTAAAGAGCAAAAGAATAATGACCTCAGCTGGGGTTAGTGAGGTGAACAGCAGCTCAAAGTCTTCTTGAGAACACTTTCCTGAACATTAAGTATATGTTTAAAAAATAAAAAGGGGAAAGAAACACAAAGGGGGGAAAAAAATCCCAAATCAGTTTTTGAGTATCCAGGTATAATGAGCTTTGGTTTCTTCTGACAAGAAAATACAAAATCCAGTTTTAGCGCTTCGAGACTATTGCCAAGGCCCACATGCCCTCTCCACCCCCAAATAGGAGGAAAATGGGAGTAACTGATGTCAAATAGCACACTATTTTCTCCTTCTCTTCAAAGGAAAATGAAGAAATGCTCACATTTAAAGTGGAAGTGAAACAATACAGAGGAGCAATAACAAAAAAATTAGGACTCATTTGACATCGGATATATTAACTATGAACCAACATAAACCAAGCTTGATTAAACAGATTTCATAACAAACATGTTCAAACCACGCGCAGAATATAACGCCAAAGAGCCAAAGCCCGAGGTGGGTGTTCACGCAAGTCTTGGCCAAGGAGAAGGGGTCAACGTTAAAAGGCCAAGCTCTTGTGTTAGCAGGGGCTGGACTTACTCTGTGCCTCGCAGTCCACGCAGTGAGAGTTGCCTCTGATGTTTCTTATTGACTGCAGGGCCATGGCCTCATTCTGACTTGTCAGTCGGGACTGAGGATATTGAAGGAAACACATAAAACAAATTAGAACCCAATGAAAAAGTCTAGACAACACAGCTGCCAGCTGGAGGAGAGGCAGAAAGCTAAGCTCAGACCAAGTTGATTGAATGTGTTCAAGGAACCTGCAGAGTTTGGTTTGCTTCTCCAGAAATAGTGCTCTTTTGGCATCTTTGAGAATGATAATTTCACGCTTGCCAAGCTGATACTCTCATTTCCTCCCATATTTCTGATGGCTCAAGACTTTTCCTAGAGCTCTCTTAATCCTGCAAATCCAAATCCAGCATTTTGGGGATACTGGACATGACTCAAACAATAGTGGACACTGCACAGGAGAAAGCCAAGCCTAAAAACAAACCTTGCTACCAAGAAGGTAGTCCCAGTGCAGGTTTATTTCTTGATATAAATCAGATAAAAATATTATTTGATAAAATCAATTTCTTTTATTGACACATATACTTTGGCTAATGAAGACTAAGGGGTGGTTTGCAGAAGAAATTGAGAGCCTTTTATCATCAAAAGGTCAGCCCAAATCAGATGGCTTCCATTTCAATTCTCTCCATGAAGATCTGCCAGGGACCTCTTTTCTTGAACCTGGTGGAACTGTCACTAGGTGTAAGTAGTTCTTCTAAATGGAGTCTCCTTTTAAAGTATTTAACATTTGTGAAATCCAATCTTCTCTATACAGTTATTCAACAATAAATATCATCCACTCTTCATCTTCTGTAATACTATATAGTAATATATATTATTTATAATATATATATTATTATATATATATATATGTATATACACACACTATATAGGTGTTAGGGAACAAAATTGCCCTGTCATGCTATCTTGGCAATGTGGTAACATATATAGGCAGTTTGGGATTTTACAATATGTACATTAGAACATGCAATTCCATGGAAATCAGGCATAAAGAATAGTCAGGAATTCTTGTCCATTCCAGAAAAAATATATTCCCTTTTTTTTTTTTTTTTTTTTTTTTAAGCAAAATGGGAAGTAAATTATGATGATGATAATTACTGTGTCCGAGCTACTCTGGTAAAGTAGTAATGAATGCAGGCTTTCATTTCAGGTATTTTGAACTTTCCTTCTTAGTAACATGAAATGATTAAAGACATTTTTCAGGGGGATGGTGTTGAAGGATGTCCCCATTTCTCCCCCTCCCTCAATATCTTGCTCTCTAACTGTGAAGTGTTTGCAAATACAAAGTCTCCAGAATTAGCTGTTTTCCTGTGCCTCTGAAAATGAGCAATGGCTGAAGGATCAGATTTTAAAGTACAGCAAAAAAGGCAGCCTGTTCCTCTTCAGCCATTTTCTTCTTTCCCCCTCAAAAAAGATTTGATGCAGTATTTCTAGATTAGTTTTCCATTAGATTAGATTAGTATTCTGTTAAATCACAAAACCATAAAGAATTGATTCAGTGTCATTAAAGAAAAATTGCACAGAGGTTTTGTAAAACAGGAGACACAAAGGCAGTAACTTATTTTTAACTTCGGCAAGCTGTATTGCATCATCACTGAGCCATATGGATGAATATTACTGCACATTTATTATTAGGCCAACCAGAAAATTGAACTAAACTTTGCCACACAGGGGCTCAACAACATTTAATTAGAGATTTGACTAATAAGAGTGTTGGGTTTCGGATCTGCCTTCACTGTCCCCCAAAACAGACTTTCCTTCAAGGCTCCTTTGCACACCTCAAACCCAGAATAAATTACTCAATTGCTGTGAAAGCAAACTGCAAAATAGCTTAGAGAACCAGTTTTCTTGAGATATCTGACACGTATGCAGCTGGCTGATACCACTCTAACCTGTGCCTAAGCTTCTGCACCTCTCCAGGGGTTCAGGTTTTTCCAATAGGTCTGGTGACTTTGTTTTCCTCTTTGTTACCAATGCCCCATTACTTACATTCAGTACTTTGGGTACTGTACCTTGTTCTTGCTGCTCTCACATGACTGTAAACTGGCCAAGATCTGACTCTCTATGGCTTGTACCCATGCATCTCTTTCTTCATATGTAGTAGCTTCAAAGTGCCATGTCTGGCCAGTGAGAGAGACGATGATAAACTCAAAGTTTTCTTCTTGTTCTGAAAAAGAAAAAACATTAAGGATATCAATAGCGAGGCCTAAACATGGTCTTATTTGAGAAGCATTTCTGCAAAGTAACAAGCAAAGAAAGGTGAAGACATCTGAAAACCTAGGCTAAATATATCCCAAGACACCAAATTTGCACAGTGCATCAGAAAATCTATTGATCCATTGCTTTCCCCTTCAAAATGTTATATGATATATACATACATATAAAGTTTGGGGTATATATGGAAGATAACAGTGTGTGTGTGTGTGTGTGTGTGTTTATGTCTCCACTTCTCTAACCATGAAGTGGCGTGGAACCACTACTTAGACTAAAGCCTGTGGTGGTACATGCCAGAAAAAGAAAATGTCCCTCAAAATAAGAGATGAACAGAGTATAAAGACATAATCACTTGACAATTTACCCAATTTTCTCAAGCATGTGTGTACACTCACAGATATATGATATGAAGACCAGACACAAGCATTTCCTTTCCTACAGCATAAATATAGGCTATAACATAGGATTAGCATCACTGCAACCTCTTCAACTTTCACCCGTGAGATGAGAAAAACAATCTGAGACACCAGCAGAAGGGGTCAGTGAAATATCCTTAGGGCCACTAGAGCATAAGGACAAGTACTGAGGCCACAGGACTGCAGTATATGAACTTGAACTACACATGGGACACCAAAGTCAAATTAAACAAGAAAAAAAAATCAAGGAAGCTGAGAAAGTGGAATTAGGAAGGGCAGGCATGAAGCATGAAAGGAAGAGAATAATAGAGCACAAAGTTCTGGTGAACATCAGCCATAATGGGCTTTAGAAAGGGCATTTACATTCACTCGTCTACTAATGACTTATTATACATTCAGAGCCACGAAACGTCTGCATTACCCCATCATCTATAACCGTGCAAGGATAAGTGACAAATCCAGCCCTTGCTTTCAAGGCAGCGGAGCTGTGCGCTCAAGCCCTTTGCTCGAGCGATGGGGCGACTGGAGTTCTTCAACAAACTCGGGGCTAGAAAGGCCAACGCTTATGCTGGTGTAAATCTCCCGAGTCCCACGGAAGCCCATGGAGGTCAGCTTGCTAATAGTGGTGGGTAATTAGACTGCGCTTTAATGAACTTTCGGAAGATAGGAGGAGGTTGCATTGTACCTTGAGCTGAGAATAAACGCTGAGGTGAAGGTTGTTTCAAGGTGAATGAGGACACCTCAAGCACTGGTTTTATTCAAAAAAGGTGCATGGGTGAGTGCAGAAGTGCACAACTTCATAACTTCTATGTTACAGCAATATGATGTTAAAAAAAAAACAAAAACAAACCAGTCATTATTCAAGATAATTATGGTTAAATGATGAGAAAAGCCACAATTACCAAATGGTGTTTCATGAGTTTTGGAGAATGATGCCAGACCAAAATAGAGCATTAACAAGAAACAGAATTACGTTCGGCCCTGCGTGCTGCCCTCTCTAGGAAAATGGAGTTACTGTGAATAAAAGCTGAAGCACCTCCAGCAAGTCTTGCTGAAGCTGAAGGGAAGAGGGCCCTGACAAAGCAGAAAGAACACTGGCAAGATAAGAGAGCACGAAAAACTCCATCCCGCTTGTAGCAGCCTCCTGTAGAGCGAGTCCTATTTAGGAAATTCATCATTCTTAGCTTTTTTTAATGGTTATGTGACACATTTTTGCACTTTTGAAGTCTTGCTAAAGGAGTCTTTCCAAATGCCCAGTCACCAAAGTCGCCAGCTCCAAAAGACCTTCCACATAAATTGGCTGCAAATGCTTCAAATGCTGCCCAAATAAGGTTTCCTTTGATGCAAGCAGAGAGATGAGAAGGGAGCACACAGAAAGCAAAGTCTTCTGTAAAGAGTATAACAGAAAGTACTCCATAAGCGGGGACAGTAAATAAAACACAAATGCTTAGCTCAAAGATTCTCACGGCAATTACTTGGTACTGCTGCTAGGGAGATATATATATATGTATGTATATATACATGTGTGTATATATAAATAAATAAATATATATAATGCAGCCAGTTTTATGTGGAATTATCTGGCATTCGCTGCCATTCTGCTTACGGAAGGTCTAGTGCACAGGGCGCCCGAGCAGCTAGCAATGCTAGAGTACAAACCAAGAAAGACTTTCAGCCATTCCCACAGTCCATTTTATATGCAAAGTGTCCTTTTCCCAACGGGAAGGCTGTCCTGTCTGACCCGCTGACCTTCTCGCTGTGACCAGAGGACACTGACAAGCTGCCACCTTGGCTGCTCTCCTGAGCAGCTCCCCAGCACCAAGAGCTGTGGCCTGGCAAAGATTCGCATCCCTGGGGGTTCAGGGGTGGGAAATCCACGTCCCAGGTTGGTGAGATGTCCCAAGAGGCCCTATCCTCCTATGGGTTAGGAGACTAGAAGACCTTCAGCACATTGAAAGCCTGGGCTGGAAGGACACTAAGAAGCACGTGCCCTTGCTGAAGACTTCAGCGATACATTTTCTCCTTAAGCACAAAGAGATATTTTGCAAGTGCCGTTTGGAAACACAGCAGCAGAGCGTACGGCCCACGAGCCAACACGTGCGGCGTGCAGGTCCGTAAGCACCGCGTGCACAGACAGACAGGCCCAGGCAGCAGGACAAAACTGTTCAGTTCCCCCCCCCAGGAAAATTACAGGTCGTGCTATTTGAACCCCTGTGAGCCCAATCACAAAATTTCATTACACAGCCTTCCGTGTTTAACAGGAATTCACAGAAAGGTCCCACTATAATAGTATTTTAGCACCATCAACCTGTCGAAATCAACCTGCCCAATTACTCCCAACTACATTAATAACGCCGGATATTGCACTAATTGTGTCCAGTTTCCATGCAGACAAGGTCCCGGGGGGCTAATTTTGCATCCTCGGGGGCAAGCAACTCGGCCGGCAAGCCGATTTCCCCTGGAATCCCTCCTCATTACACAAGTCCGGGCTGTCAAACTTTCTTTTTTTTTTTCTTTTTCTTTTTTTCTTTTTTTTTTAGTAAAAGGTTAATGGGCCAATCAGTCATCAATTATTTCCTGGAAGCGAAGCAGACAAAGGGTTAAAGTGCTAACAAACAGCTGCAGCTGATTTACATTTGGAAGTTATTAGCAACAGGAGCTGCCTAAAAAAATGGTGGTGCTGTTTGTTTAGATTTTTTTAAACAGGAGGAGTGGCTAAAATGGGGGAAAAAAAGGTGGAATCGAGAGATGAGGATGTGATTGAACATTTTTCTTTTCCCCCACAACAGGACCGGTGGAAGTGAACATGCAGCCCCCAAGTTTCAGGACAAGGCTGCCTGCTGTAGCTACCAGCATGTCCATCATCAGCACCACCATTTCCAAGGGGCTTCACGGTACCACTTACCCCAGGCATATTTTTTTCCATCGCTACCTTTTTCTTGGCATTTCCATGTCTTTTATTCCCAGTAGCCAGAACTGCAAGATCAGCCATACACAGTGGCTGATCTTGCAGATACCAACAGTGAGCGACTACTCACTTTAGCTTGAGGTCAACCTAAGGCAAGGGCATCTCTTTGCCTGACCCTCTCCAGAGCTCAAATTGCCCCAAAAACTTGCATACAAACAGAAAAACTCTTGCACAGGTGGATGATGGAGACCTAGGTTTAAGCAGTTGCTCAGAGGTGTATGTGAATATTGGGACAGAACCACAAATGAAGCCCACATTGCCTCACTTCCCGGACAGTGGCTTTTAACCAGCTCACTGGCATAAGGTGCCTTTTCTGGGGAGAAAAGCGCAGGACCAAACGAGTGGCTGACGTATTTCCAACAGCCATCGAGTGGCTCCAGGAGTGGAGGGTCCAGCCTGCAACCTAGTGAAGCACGCGTGAGGGAACGGCGAGAGCTACTTCAGCTCCCTCTTTAGCATGCCCCTCATCCCGCCAAACTCGCCTGGGCTCAAGCACCCTCCCTAATAACCCTTCATCTTCTCAAAAGGACGATAATGAGAAGATGTTTACAATTGACAATGTGTTTACCACAGAGACGCGTGTTTTTCATGTGCTAGATAACATCAGCTCTCATTACCTTCTTGCCACTCGGCGTAAATTATCCCCGCAACTTGCAAGATAAGTATGTTTATTAGCCGCCTCAATTAAGGAAATATTTGTGCCATGTCCCACTGGGCATGACTATACTAATACTTCTCTCCCCTTTCCAAACCCAGTGTCTAAATCTAATTAGTTTTGAAAATCACCCCTATCAGGACAGCCGAGCTGCGCTATCCGTTGCCCACAGCTCATGGGAAAGGTTGTGTTCCACGGGAAGGCTTTTTCCACAGCACCATTTTATACTGCTACCCTAGGCTGAGAAACGGCCACCGAAAGGCTTGGTCCTAGCTGCGGGCACTTGGCTTCTCCTGCCACGTGTCACTTGTCATTTTAGTTGGGTGCCGACACAATGATGGTTGGAAGAAGCCCACAGCATAAGTTTTAATTCAGTTCCTGAGTCCAGATGTGCATTAGATGGTTCATATCATTCGCTTCAAAAATATAATGTGTTTTGAGCCTGCAGTTTGCTGGTAAAATTCCATGGTGGGCCTCCATGGACCACGCTATGTTTCGGCACAGGCACAGCATCAGGTCAGCGAGGGCACTGCTACCTTTGAAAGCTGAAGTAGTCCTGGAGACCACAAATGTGCAGGAAAAAAGGTCTCCAGGCGAGCTTTGCAGCTCCAGTGTCATGCACATAATGACAAAGAGTGGGCAAAGCGAGGATTTAAGATCTCTATAGATGTTTACCAACTTCACTGTCAGCTTCAGTGAGACGCGTCTCCCTACCGGGTCGCAAGTTTTGTTGATGTAGAAAGAGCAATCCTGTATTTAACAACCCTGCTAGGCTTATTCAGCGTCTCAGGTGGGGATTTTGTTACCTGCAAGCACGCAAGAACATCTAGGTAACGGATCAGAATTAAAAAGTAACCGAGGGGTTGTTCTCTAGTCCAGGCTTTCAAAAAAAAAAAAAACCCAAAAAAAAACCCCCCCAAAAAAAACCCACACCCCACTTCATCAACAGGAATATTTCTGTCCTGCAGAAAGGTATAAATGCAATTGAGCAAGCATGTGCTAGAGACTAAAGCAGATTTGTTATTCTGGACTGTCATTTCCTATCACCATTCCCTTTTTTGAAGGCATAATTACCCAAACATGTGGCTTTTAGTCCTTACACTGCTCATTAACTCTGCCAACCCTGTGATTCCTGCTATCAAGCAAAGGCTTAACGTACAGACTCAAGGATGCAAAATTACACAGGACACCAGACCTTTAGCAGGGCTAATACTTCCAAGATAGACAAATTTGTCCAGTTTGGGTACAGAATTTCATACTGGTGACATTTCTCCAAACTCCTCTACCGTGGCCTTCAGGGAAATGTTCCTCTATATAGCAAGGTGCTTTCAGCCCACTTGCCTTAGGTTTAATCAACATGGTAAAAGACTCTTCAAACACGTACCCTCAAATTAGGAGATTTTGAAAATTCTTTTTAAGGCAATTATTTACACTTTTTTTCCCCACTGTTAGAATTCTGTTAACAAGTAGATATTAAACCACAAGTTTATTTCTTGGGCAAACTTATAACAAGCTGGCCCAGCATCTGATGGGAAGGGAAAAAAATCTAAGATTAAAAATGAATAATTTTTACAAGTATTGAGTAAATTTTCTTTTAAATTGAAAAAAAATGCAAACTTACTCCAAAAAATCATTTTCTCTCTCATTTCACATTTTACACTCATGCCCCGAAAAGACCAAACCACAATTTTGCTGCTGTTGCTCTAAGAGGTAACAATTTTACATGTACAATGAGAAATAAAACAAAATCATAATTAAAAAGAAAAGCTTCCATGTCAGGCTGCAGGAAAACCGCACTTCTGTTTCCCTGCCACCCTTTATTTGGCAGCGAGACCAAGGCATCCGGCAGCAGTAATTGTGCAAAAAAGAAAAAAAAAGAAAAAAAAGGAAAGGACGGCAATATAAATCACCAAAGGTTAATGATCAGGATGTGAACATAGGGACTTGTTTACAGAAATAGCATGCAATTTAAAATTTACAGGAGATTTAATGCCACTGCTTGGCAATCACTAAAATCAACAGCCCAGAAAACAGTGACATTAAGAAAAATATTACAGTTATAATCATTCCAAAATAAGTCAATTAGTGTTAGGGCATGCGCTCGTGATTACTTGACCCATTTGGTTGGCACTTAAGTGAAAAAAAAATCCTCCCCCCCACCCCGTTATAGGGAGATTACTGAGTTGTGACCTATTTTGCATTCCATATTTCCCACTCTCTCCCCTCTTCTCATCCACGGGTGGAGAGGACGGCGGAGATTTTTTTACTCCTTGCCCGGCTTCCAAGCAATTCTCGCCTTTGACATTCGTTATAACAAAAAAAAAAGAATACATATATATATGTATCTGTATATAAAAAGAAGGAAGTTTATAATTGTGTTGTTCCAATGAAGGTACGGGAAGAAAAAAGAAAGAATTCAATCTGCTGTTATATAAAAGCCATGACGGCTGTCTTCAGTGGGGAGAAAAAAAAAAGCAATGCAAGTCAATTTGTGAACTTTGGCACCGGGTGACCTTTAAAAATACAACAATATACAGGATTTACAAGCAAGAGCAGCACATGCAAATGACCCGGCACTGTCTCGCCTTTGGATTAGAGCTGCAAAGAGCATTATGGAGAACGCTTGCACAAAACAAATTAAGACTGTTACTTAAATGTCACGGCACACACTATTGTATTCGGCTACAGATCATTACACCTGGTGCTAACACTTTTAAAAACCGTAATAACTCGGGAAATATTACATTGGGTGCCCGCATGTATAAAGGGGAAAATAAAAAAAAAAAAGGAAAAAATTAAATAAATAAAGAGAGGAAAATGGGTTGCTGAAGTAATTTAAACATCGCCACTCCGTGACTAGAGGGAAAGGTCAAAATTTAAGTAAGCTGAAAAGGAACACGAATGGCAAAATAAAAAACGCACAAACAAAAGAAAAAAAAAAGGGAGATGAAAAGACCACGGGAACGACTCTGCAAACAGGGGATGAAAGCACGCATGCTCGGGGCAAATTTGACTTGCATTCCTGCATCTAGGACAATTTTCGGGAAAGCGGGTTACAAAAAACGGGGGAGAGGGGGGTGGGATAGGGGAGGCGCTGAGCTACAACGTGCCGTTTCGTTACCTTCGGTGTTGGTGCTGCTGCTGCTGTATATATTTCGCAGGCTACCAACACGGTTTAGTTTCCACGCTTTGCGTTTGGCTGCGTCCAGAGAGCAGAAGCGGAGGAGAGAAGAAGAAGGGAAAAAAAAAAGAGAGAGAGAATAAAATAAAAATAAAGGGGAAAAAAATCAAAAAAAAAGGGGGTCGAGAAAGGGGAAAAAAATAAAAAAGAAATGTCAAAATAGCATGAGAAGTAAAACGCGAGCACAAGCCGGTTACGCTGGGAGAGGCACACACACAAGCGCGCACGAGCACCTCGCAAACGCCCAGGGCACACGGAGGAGGGATCCAGCTCCGACACGCGCCGAGCTCCCATAGGGTTAAACTCCCATGGGGTTAAACGGAGCACGCGGGTCCGCACGGGAAAAGCTCAAAGATTTTGCACAGGACACACAGCCAGACACCAAACAACTCCTGGAAAACGCTGCTCAGTCAGCGAGAAAAGCCACGGAATGCTGGCGGTTAGGACAACTTCAGGAGTCTGGATACTGATGTAGAGGGCTTAAATCAGTAGAAAACCCATGGATTTGTAGCACTGAGCTTTGTGGTATTCATTATTTTGAAGGGTGTCAAGGAGCTGGTGATGCCCTGCAAACTAGGCAAATCACTGCAAAGTTATACGCATAAAGAAAACCCAAATAAACGCTTATTTGGAAAATAAAAGTATGTAAGATGTCACTGGCTCTCCACCAGAATTGCAGCAGATTTTCTGATTCTCGGAGTTGCTGCATTACAACGAGCAGAAAAGAGCATTCAAAGGCACTCAAATACTGTGCTCCGTAGGAGACACAAAGCCTTTGCAGTCTCTAAAACGCACCCGCTTCGCCTCAAAAGTGCGCTCGCAGCGTGAGAGGTAAATACAACCAATGTGCTTAGACCAACTTTCGTCAGACACGATGTATTTTTCTCTCTCGCAACATCCAAGTCCATCCACTGGGACACTGCTGGCCTCCAACGTGACTTGCATGAAAACAGCAGGAATGTCCTGTCTTATTTACCCGGGGCCCTTCCCGATCCCATGTGCCAAGACTCACCTCTTTCCAGCCTCCATATCACCCTCCCAGGGCACCTCAATGAGGATGCGATGCTGCCTGGGCTGCAACTAACTTGCAAAACGAATTTTTATTCATTTTTAAATTTAAAAAGAAATCAAATGAGGCAGTATAAATTGAAGTGGTAATAATGATTCATTCCTAAAATGCACTTTAGAGCTGAAGAGTTGCCTGCTTTGCCTGAGCTCAGAGACTGTTAGAAAGGAACACTGAGCAAGTCCAAGGCGAAAAGCTTTTACCCTGCACCAGGGAGGCTCCTCATCCTTTAGGATAACATGTACGTTACGTGACATTATAGATATGGTGATAAAACATTTTAAAAAATTTACAACAGAACTTTTTTCTCTCTCTCTTTTTTTTTCTCCTTAAACATCTCCAAAAACTCATCTCAAAAGGCTGTTTCCACCAAAAAGGGCTGGCGACACAAAGTCATTCAGCTGCTTGACAAAAAGCTCTGCTTTCAGCCTAAGATTTAAGCCTGGGAAAACCACTTGTTTGCTACCTTCAGGTTTAAGAAACATTTAACAAGTCCCAGCAGGTAGCAACAACTAGAGAGGCTCAATCTCCCGGCAGAAAACTTGCTTCTCCTGACAAAAATTTACATATAAATAGGCAAAAACGAGGTTTGGCACCCCTTGGAAAAGGGAGACTCTCCACTATATAAAGACCCTTTCCCAGGCTGCTCGCATTTTTCATAGTTTAATCGTGCACGGGAACACAGCTGTATATGTGGGAAGGGAACCTGCCGCCTGGTTTTCTATTAACCTATTGATGAAAGAATCCATCCTAATGCCTTCAGTGTCAAGCCTTGTTCTTCTTTCCAAACAAATGGACTTCTCTGCAGTGATGCAGAGGTCCCAGTACAGCCCAGCACGTCTCTGAGCATCCTTTAGACTCCAGCCTGATTCCTTGCAGTGCTCTGCTGTTGTGGAGAACAGAGTATTATCATCCTTGAGCTTTGGACAGTGCCAAGAACAGCCTCCAGAAGGTCTATGGGTGGCTGCGTGAAAGGCATGGTCCAACCTAGCCTTCCTACCCTGACTGTCTTCAAAATTACCTACCGACTATAAATTTGTGCTACCTAAACCAGGCCATAACAGGCACGGGAGGTCATGAAGTGCCTGACTTGCCATTGGCTTCCATCCTAGAAGATTGAGCCTGTCAGTCTGGATTCGCTTGTTGGTTCACAAGTTAGCCTAGCATAAATTCTAGTTGCTTACTAGATGCTCACTTATTAAAAGAAAAAAAAAAAAAACCCAAAACATAGAATGTTACCAATCAAAAGCTAAGAAATGCTTTCTTTTACTCTATAATGGGAGCACACTGGGCAGAATATCAGCACAGAGGAGAAATGCTGCTTTTTGTTGCTTCAAAGCTCCTTGACTCCTAGAATTCCTCAGTTCTACATAACAAGATCATAATTTCTGTGTTTAATTTCAGCACAGCCACCCCGACAGCTACTGCGGAAAGCAACCATGGAGCAACAAGCCATGAAAGCCTTGACTCCCCGAGGCAGGGATGCAGTTTTTGAGAGGAAGCCTTTGGATGTCTTCTTGAGTGTTGGTAAGGAAGCTACTTTGAGCTGTGTCACTGGCGATCCCTGGCTCACTGGATCATGGCATGGCTCACACTCACCTAGGTATTGAGTTCAAACATACCGTTTAAGGCCCAGGAAGCCACCAAATTGATTTGATCAGAGAAGAGAATGATGGGCTTCTATACAACCCTGTTAAGTGCTACAATGGCCCATGTTGGTATTTTTTCACAGCAAAAAACATTGCTCAGGTAAATCAAAGGTCACAGCTACCCAATTAAGCTACCGAAGTATTTAACAATTACTTGAAAACCTTCAGATGCAGCAGAGGAACCACATTCTGTCCAAAAACACACATAGGCTCAGCCCTAAAAAGTCACAGGCAAGCCTGGTGAGATGATTCCCACTCTTGCCATGACACAGAAATGGAAAAATTGTTTCCTCCTCCCACCCAAACTTCCACCGCAGCTCTCAGTCACGCTGCTGCGCATCTGCAAAGGAAGCAGTTTCTGGGCTTGCTTGATGGACACGCAGTTGCTTGTTTAATCAAACCGCTTGTGTCTCTTTCCCTAATGGCCAAAATCTCATAGCCATTTTTTATGGTGAATGAAGAGAGGGCACAACTGCAACGCTGCATCACGGTAAAACTGGTTTTCCTCGGGGAGATGCACTGGTAATTGCTGCATGCAGAAAGGGCGGTGTATGGCACTCAGATAATGATTATCATGGGGATATCTAAAATATCTCCCATTTTTCACCTTTACCCCTTTTATTTACTGCTTTGTCCAAGATAATCTTGCAACTTTTTAAGCTGTTTCATGCTAGCTTTGTGATCACAGCGTATTTGAAACAGAGGAGCTCTGACTTTTAGGGGCTACCTTGCAACGTCACCAGCTAGTATTTTTAAAAGCACATCTCAGGTGAACCATGTAAGACAAAACACTGGCTGTTATTCATTCATTTCTCAGGACTATAAGCAGCCAGAAAATGAATGAAGATTTCCAGGAAATGAAAGAAGAGGCATTGGCCATGACCCCCAGAGCTCACAGCTTGCAAAAGCCACGACTGGGAAAAGGCTTCTTCATCTTCAGGGCACCGACCTTGTGTTGGAGCTTGTGTTGCACACGAACCCAGCAGATCAACAAATCTAGGCTCAACCCTCGCTTGAACCACTGGGAAAAATATCCTTTTTCCTGATTTCTATTAGTAAATGCAGTTTCTTTCCTAGAATACTCCTTGTGTGCACCTGGAAAGAGAGTATAGGCCTGCAAAGCACTATGGAGACACTCTCCCTTCATCAAATACCTTGTTTTTACATAGGGGTTGTCTTTACGTAGGGCTTTCTATAGGATAAGGCTATTGTACGAGTGATCTGTTGTTTTAGCAAGGGTTGCGTTATTCATGACAGCTGTCAAGTTTTGTGCACATAACATTATACAAAAGCCAATTCAAACTGTTTGCACATAGTATTCATTCTAGCCTTAAAAGCACCGTGCCCATTCACCTGCCTGATCCTGCTGAACCCAGCACTGCAATTACAGAGAAGCAGCAAGGCAAAGCCGTCACCCACACGGTCCTACAAGCATGACCCATCCCTACCACATCTGACAGCTCCTGAAACGGGACAACTCCTGTTTCCAAGGCCCATCAATCCTCTTCCCAACCCTCCACTGCTGCACCTACCCATGGGTCCAGGATTCTCCCTCCTGCTGCAGCGCAGGGATGCACCCAGCTCAGGTGACATGAGAACCATGCAGGAGCCCTTAGAGAAGGCAACTTCTAAAACCCATTGGCAAAGGTGAGTAATTACAGACGAACTGAAGCAATGAGTTTTGCAGCTCACCAAGCATTGTCTTGGGGTATCTTGCTCCCTAAAAGGTGCTAAGAGGGGAGACTTTAAGGATTGCTCTTGAGTCCATAAATTCCAGAAAACAGCCTAGGACCTCTTCTAGAGTTTAGGCAACTTCTTCTTTTCCAGCTTTTCCATGAAGTTTAGGCACACTGCTTAAATTTAATCTGATTTGGGACACTTGACATGCTTTAGGTCAATGGTTGCAAAGGAAGAGGGGCTGCCTGTGGCTAATGTATGTTTAGGCTGGCAGTCATGAACCCCTTGTCCTTGCAGGTACCAAATGGCCGCACTGGGTTTGACCAGGGCCAATCCTGCTTTGTTTTATTTGGTATATTATCTTCAGCTTTCCGGTGTATCACATAGGGGCTCTAATCCGCACCCTCTGAAGTGGGTGCCGTACAGGCTGGCCATGTCTTCCAACAGCCAGACGCTACCTGACATATGCTCTGAAAACTGCACCCAAGCAGCAGGCACTAGAAAGCATTGGGAGGCCCAAAGGCCTCTGTCCCTTACACTGAGCCCCAGGGACAAAACAGTGGCAACAGCTCCTCTTAACTCTAAGTCATTTGCTTATACACTGGATAAGCAGAAATGTGCTTTTA